CTTCCCAATGGGTCTTGTTTGGCCAATCAAGTGTCATTGTGTAGAGGAAGCTTTAACTTAGATTTACAGTATCGATCAAATCGCCGATCTCTCTTCGTTACTGTAGGATTACGGTAAGAACTTCCAGCACGTAGAACCATTTTGAAATATGCCATCTGACAAAATTTTTTCAAAAAATCTGAAAAATCGTGTACTAAGATTTTCGCGCACGCTGATGTCGCTACACAACTTTTTACGAGTTTTCAGCTTTTTTTGAAGGTGTAATCACATTTCAGACTGATACTGGGAATTTGGTTATCACGGTTTACCTGGGATAACTTTGGAAAGAAGCATCACAGTAAAGCGAAAATTTCATACTCGAAATCAGCGACTTCCATTACCATAGCGTAAGAGTTTTTGGATTGTTTGGTTTCGTTCCGAGGCTGAATATGGTCTCTAATTGCCTAAAATCCTTGTCGAAAGTTCCTACAATAATCCTACAGTAATGAAAAGTTATCGGTGATTCGCTTGTTACAGTAAATCTAAGTTGAAGACTCCTCTACAGAATGGTGTTTGAATGGCGGAAAAAGACACAAAGGGAAGAGAGATATTAACGATTGAAAAGTGTGTACTTACTTTTGGGACACCCTGTATATTAGGTTGTCCCGAAAGTTCGTTCGCACCATTTTCAAAAAATCATAACTTCTTTGCATCATAATGATTTTGCGCAGTTTAAATTTTACAAGAAAGCGTAAAGCATGTAGTTTCCAAAGATCCCCTGGCGACTTTCCAGCATGTTTAGATTGCAGAGATAAAAATAAAAGAACGAGAACACCCGAAATTCGGAATTTTTGAGCAAAAATTCTAAAAATCTAGAAACTGCGCGATAAAATCCAGAAAAGCCATTTTCATAATTTTTCTTATATTTGATTACAAACTGAGTAAAGTTTGTGCTGATCGGGCTCTTTTTCAAAAGTTATGATTTTTTGAAAAAAAATCCGAAAAATCACTTTCCTAAGAATTCTTAAGAAATTGATTTTTCAGCATTTTTTTTCAAAAAATCATAACTCTTGAAAGAAGAGCTCGATCAGCACAAACTTAACTCAGTTAGTAACCAAATATAAGAAAAATTATAATAATGGCTTTTCTGGATTTTATCGCGCAGTTTCTAGATTTTTAGAATTTTTGCTCAAAAATTCCGAATTTCGGATGTTCTCGTTCTTTCATTTTTATCTCTGCAACCTGAATATGCTGAAAAGTTGCCAGGGGACCATTGGAAACTACATGCTTTACGCTTTCTTGTAAAATTTAAACTGCGCAAAATCATTGTGATGCAAAGAAGTTATGATTTTTTGAATTTGGTGCGAACGAACTTTCGGGACAACCTTATATATATATATATATATATATATATATATATAACTCAATGTCTGTGAGGATGTTCGTTAGGTTGTTAGTGCTCTATAGAAACGTCAGCCGTTGAGCCGATTGAGCTGAAACTTCGCACACATATGTTTTCCACCCTGGCGGTTGTTTGGGACTGATTTTCGCGGCGGTTCACTGAGCCCTTCTATCGATTTATTGATTTTTAACCGTTTGCAATGAGAATGAACGTTATAAACCAAGCAATTCATTTACATTCCAGTAAACAAAGTAGGTCTCATTTTAATTCTCTGACAAGGAAGCCGGTTAAGAGAAGCTTACTGAAGTAAGTTCTGAGTTCGATGTGTACAAGTATGCGTACATGCAAACTTAACAGCTCGCATACTACTGTGTCCGTTTCGTACGTCTGCATTGTTGCAAACATACGGTAGTTATCAACCACAGTGTTGGGTGCATCAGCACCTCCACGGCTGCGTCTCTTCCGCGAACATGCACTCTGATCACTTTCCCAAGAAAAGCGTGGGAAAGGCGGAGCCTCAATCGATCAAAAGTGATTAGAAAGCATATTCGAGGAAGCCCTGTACTTAATCTTATACGAACGCGACAACGGCCATTGTTGCAATCGTACTCAGACAATCGCCGGGGGCAGGCGGGCACCGGAAAAATAGATTGCTGATCTCTCGCACCCCGCTCGCGGATTTTTTGGAAAGCAATCAGGATTTTCGGAAGACCGCTTGCTGAGTTAGCGGATTTTGGAGAGAACGTGTTGAATTTTTTTTTTCGCTCTTATCTTTTGCAGATATATTGCTGAATCTCTGAGGAATCGAAAACTCAGCAAGCGGCATTCCGAAAAGTCCTGATTGCTTTCCAAAAAATCCGCGAGCGGGGTGCGAGAGATCAGCAATCTATTTTTCCGGTGCCGCCTGCCCCCGGCGATTGTCTGAGTAGGTAAACGGAGGAACATCTCCAAAAATTATGTGAAGAAAAAAAAGGTAGCTTTTGCTTTTTACCTGCGACGAATAGATACGTCAATGGATTAGTCACTGAGATGTGAGATGAGCGTTAGTTTAGTGCCTAACTGCGCTCGCAATCTTCAATCCGCCTTCTGCCATGCTAAATGTTTGATAGAAAACTTACAGCGTCGCACTTATTCAGTTACTGACTAAGCAAGTAGAAACGACAGTTTGCCGCTAACGTACCACAAAGCAGGTGATATCCTCGGAGAATGAAGTGGTTTGCGGCATGAGAGAAATAACCGTTACGTTGTAAGAACATGTCAAAATGAAACGTTCTTCTTTCGCAGATCTCGAAAATGTGATATATTGTGATCACACTGAATGATCAGCTTGCCAGCGGACGTTCACAATTCAGTCAATGAAACAAGTTGGCGTTGCTTTGCTCAAGGCTAATGCCAGGCGAAAGTAAATCTAAGAAGCGGAACTCGGTTTCATTAATCGCAAAACGAACGAAGCACAATGTTTACAGCGATGAAGATGCGCATGCGCTGCATTCGCGTTTGCACATCTAGAAGTGCTTTCTCCTTTGCCGGAAAGTGACCTTTACTATGCCCTACAACAAGCGGAAACACCACAGAAAGCCTTGAACCTGTAGCGCAAAACCAGGCTGTCTACTGAAATAGCCGGGCAAGACCGGGTATATCAGCTAGTATATATATATATATATAGTGTCCCAAAAAATGTTTAGAACGTTTGATCGTTAATATCTCTCTTCCCAAGAAGTCTTTTGCCTTGCTTCAGGTACCGTTTTGTAGAGCTGGCTTCAACTTAGATTTGCATTATAAAACGAATCACCCATCTCTCTTCATTACTGTAGGATTACGGTAGAAACTTCAAAGAGGGTTTTGAGCTATGAAAGGCCATATTTTGCCTCAAAAAAGAAACAAAACAGCCTGAAAACTTTTACACTAGGCTAATTAGAGTTGCTGATTATAACTGTAAAGTTTCCAACTTGTTATGATGCTTCATTGAAGAGTTATGCCAGGTAAGAGGTAGCGGCCATTTTTCAGTGTTCTTAAAAAGTGCGATTAAACCGTTTAGAAAGCTTCGTAATCTTGTGAATAGTTTAGCATTGAACTCAGCGTCCATAAAAACCCTATTACACATGTTTTCACATTATTTTGAAAATTTTTTGAAAAGGCAGCTTTTTCCATATTGACACCATATGTTTCAAGTTTCTACCGTAATCCTACAGTAATGAAGAGAGATGGGTGATTCGTTTTATAATGCAAATCTAAGTTGAAGCCAGCTCTACAAAACGGTACCTGAAGCAAGGCAAAAGACTTCTTGGGAAGAGAGATATTAACGATCAAACGTTCGAAACATTTTTTGGGACACCCTGTATATATATATATATATATAGCTAATTCGCTGACCGCACGGACTGGACATCACTGCAGAGCACGCGCCGCGAGGTAAAACGCTTGCCCTAGTTCAAATTCGCCATTGTACAAGTCGTGCTCTCGCGACAATTAAGCCGCATCGCGCGTGGTCCGCAGCGTTTACACTGTGGTCCGTGTGGATAACGAATCCATGATACCTACTTTATGTGTTCCAGGAAACCGCTGCATAGTTTCCACTGTTTTGCAGCAAGGCAAACCAACCGTTTGCAAAGTGCGGAATAATGAATTTTTTATAAAGTGCTACTTTTAAGCATTCTCTAATTCTTTCCTTTTTCCATACCGTTACTTATCGGTTCTTTCTTCTATCCCGCTTTTCTTGTGATGGCAAACTTAAAGCGTAAAAAAATGCTGTTCCGCAGTTCTTCCCCCAAGTATCTGGGAGTATATGTCTTCGCGCTCTTGTTTCTGTTCAGCCTACTTCATGTGTTCCAAGAGTCTCTGCACGGTTCGCAATCAGTATTAAAAGGCGCAAAGACAGCTTTCCAAAACACACAAAGTAAGTTTTAACAAAAATAACAAAGAGGGGATGAACGAGGGCAAGAAAATCCCATCTTCCTGATTGCATGGAGTATAACGGTGCCCATTCTCCAGTAACAAGATCGAAACTCTTTTCATCAAAAGGAAAGCAGGATAGAGGGAATGAGACCGAAACGTGTGAAATCCAAAAGAAAAGCCTTTGATTATGGCCAAAAATCTTTAAAGCCGCTAAACCACATGCGGAGCTGCATCGCATACAGCAAGTTTCGGCACAATTCCAGCACACTAGAGAACTGTGTTGGAAGTGTTGCAATCAGAAATTTCCTGATCAATGGAACCCAGCCTAACTTGCCGTCAAACAGACATCGCTTAAATTGCTTCTTCTATCCAACGTGTGTTAGTGCTATCTTCCGTTTCTTGCTTCCGTGTTCTTTTCAACATAGTCTAATCGTGCATGTGGTAAATTTTGTGAAATAATTAGTGGGACTCGTACTCAAAATTATTTGGTAATACCTAGGGTCGAGATCCTGATTGTGTAACACTTGTCTTCTGCTTATCTCAAGCATTGCCACACTTGTTTCTCATTCATAGACTCTTCCGTCGCCGAGCTTTGAGGACACGAGGTTTTAATTTGAAGCTTGCAGAGGCTCCAAATCAAATCCTCTCTCGTTGTCATTATTTTGCCTTAGTTTGTAAAAAAAACTATGAAAAAGACTGTATTGCCACTGTTTAAACGGATGTGGGGAAATCGTTCACTGATGTGCTTTTATTGATGTAAGTCGACAAGTCAATAACCCAGTGAAGGCCTCAGTGAATCACAGCGAATAGTAGTCTATGGCCAACAATAAGCTCAATATATCACTAACATTCTTTGCTTCTTAAGTTTAGCAGTGTTCAAGTGTTTTTCGCAAATACCGGCATGGAAGCAGATGAAATTGAGGTATTTTCTCACATCCGTCATAACCGTTCCTCGAAACTCTCGATCCGCATTTCCTGAAAGAGTGATTTACGGTTTTCATTATGAGACATTCCCGCACTTTTCTCCGAGATAGCTCTATCAACTTCTTTACATTCGAGACCTCTTGACAGCACTCCCATAACGTAATCCCGGTATTCGTTCACACGTTGCATAGCGCCACTTCCACTGTCACCCTGGAGACTCAAACTGTTTGTTACGATTTACGATCAAACATAGCAAACACAGATTCTTACCACACATGCAAACTGGTATTTTTCAATTATGCAAAACGCATCCTTCCCTGCTCTCACTGTTGGATCGCAAAAGCGGTCTTTTGTAAACCATATCCTTTCAAGGTGTTTCTCGTGAGCATAGCTGTCATGTGCTGTAACAAAAATTTTTCGCCACTCAAACATTAAGGTCTGTAAAAACAGAAAGGGGGAAAGGACTAGAGTAAGCTACTAGCGGCCCACTTGATTCACATCTAGGGCCTGGCTGGACAAATTCCAAATACCCTCTATTCCTCTGAGATTATTCAATGTGTGGACTCAAAAAACTCGGTGTGTGAATATAAGGCATTCCTCAGGTTTCATACCTTGGCTGGTAAAACGATTCTCTCCATGTTTCGCAATGTGCAGTTTGCGCGATTTCGATGGTTCCGAGATTGGTGCCTAGTAGTGGCTTCAGTGGTAAAGAATTGCGAACTTGATCGCGGTTGATCGCGAGCGAAGGATTGCGAGAAAAGGACATTTCTTGGTTGAAACCTATGCTGCATGGAATTAGTGTGGAGTTCGCTCAGTACACCCGAGCATTTAGAGCGAGCATGTGCAACATCCATTCCTTTTCTTGGCAGCCCCTATACTCATTTTTGAAAAAAACGCCATTCTAGTTATGCTTGACTACCCACGACAAGCAGTGTTATCCGCAAACAAAATTGCTTGAAAGACCGCGCGCTCCGAATTCTCCGTCGAAAGCATCTGCGACCTATCAAATCACTTTGGCGAGTTCGCCACTCGCTGAATTTGGTCAAGTCCATCAAGTTTTCCGCCTTGTTAGGAGCTAAGTCTCGGGCAGAGTTCACTCGATTTGATCGTCGCGATTGAATCGCGACAAAGCAACGGTTACGAGTTCACTGCATGTCGACCAGCTTGCATTTCGGTTGTGATACTTTTCTAGCCCGAAATTTTTGAATGTGAAATGAAAATGAATAGAAATTGCGGCGATTGTATCGCGACGATCAAATCGCATGAACTCTGTCCGAGGCCATAGCCGGGCGAGCTCTAGGCCGTACTGACAATGAGTGCACGATTCTTATTTAGACAAATGACCGGAACTTTCGCAGAGCGCTTGCGGAAGTTCCGCCAGGTCAGCTGCGGAAGTTCCGAAGAATGCCACAACTGCAAAAGAGAACACCGAAGCAAGATTTGAATCTCCCTCTATTGACTGTGAGACCCACCTACTATCCTCTACACTACGGCTGATAAGGTCCATAATGCACTCTAGTTGTTGGCGAGGCAACATCACGAGAGAACACATTCAAAGTCCTGCGGAAGTTCTGGCAGGCCAAAGTGCTGCGGAACCTTTAGCATTTTTCGGAATTTCCGCAGGATTTTGAAGAAGGTTCTGCGAAATTTCCGGTTTCCAACCAGTTTCGCATGAAAATCCCGCGGAAGTTCCGATTTTCGACGTTTTCATTCTTGCAATAGTAAATAAAATCCTGCGGAACTTCTGCAAATTTGGCTTGGCCTGCGGAAGTTCCGGTGATTTGTCTCAGTATACACTGTTTACAATATATATAGAAATGTGCTTTTAGTATGGTTACGAAGGAGTACGTGGCTTAATCACGCTGTCTCCAGCATTGGTTTTGTTCTGTAAATAAAGTAATTCGATGTGTAATCCCCCCACAATGGTCGGTCGCCTCATCGTGGCGTGGGGGTGACACTGGGTGTCGAACTGCGATGCACAGCCGAGTGTATACTCTGGTAGGGCCTCCCAAGCTGTGAAGGAGGGTTTCGGCCGGATGCCTAGCTAAGAACTGGCCACGCCAGATCCTCCGCCGTCTGGCTTCTTCTGGCCGCTAGGCGGTCCCTCCCCGCTCCAAGCCCGGGGTCAGCGATCGCCCCGTGGAAATCAAGAGTAGGCCTAGTAAGCCATTTCTTGTAGGGGAAAATTCATATTACTCCTCCAGTTAGAAGATTAGAAAGAAACCCTGCACATCGTATCCCGCCTACGGCGCCGGGTGGTAGCAAGAACGATGTCAGTGTACTCAGGGAGCCTTTCGGATTGGACAAAAACGACACGTCTGCCTGGACGACACGCCATGGAGACTGCCCCATGCTCTGCACTTACAACGCCAGGACAGTCTCCACAAACGTCGACCTCCACGCTCTTCTCGACGCTGCAGAGCACATCAACTACCACATCATCGCTCAGCAGGAAACGAAGTCCAGGAAGAAGGACGTGCGACAGATGAGTGATGGGACCCTCATCATTCGTGGTGAAAAGGTTCCATTACGAAACGTGGGAGGCGTCGGCTTTGTCGTCCATCCATCTATCGTCCATCTTGTCGATTCGCACGAGATCCTATCACCTCTACTAGGCATCCTACGACTACGCCCTCCACGTCAGAAGACCATCAGCATCATCAACTGCTACTCGCCAACATCAGCAGCTGACGACTCAGAACTAGATGCTTTCTACGAAGACGTGGAGGAGGTCGTCCGCAACGAAAAGTCCTTCTACAAGTATGTTGTGGGCGACTTTAATGCGAAAATCGGGATGCCACTAGAAAAGGAATATATGATCGGGAAGTTTGGATATGGGCTCCGAAACGAAAACGGCAACCGTCTCGTTGGGCTCCTCTCCGCCGCACGACTCTTCCATGGAAACTCCATCTTCATGAAGAAAGAATATCGCCGGTGGACTTGGGAATCGCCCAGCGGAACGACTCATGGTGAGATCGACCACATTCTCACCAACCGAAGGTGGAGCTTACTCGATGTCTCTGTAGTTCCATCCTTCTGTAGTGGCTCCGATCACCGCCTTCTTCGAGCGAAGATACGACTCAGCCGAAGGCTGGAAAAGAAAGTCTGTCATAGTGCCGCGAGAAGGAAGGAAGTCGTTTATGACGGTAACAGGCTGGAAGAGCTCATATCAAGACTGGCCCATCGAGGAGGACCCAACGTACGACTACGACCGGCTTCTGCAAGGATTGCGAGCCTGCGGAGAATGCGCCTCAGTAACTTCTGAGAAGAACTTGGACCGCATCTCGAAGACCACCAAGGAATTGCTCGAAAGAAGAAGATCATTGAGGCAGGATCCGAATGCAACTCATCTCGAGCGACTGATAGCCAACGCCAGTTGCAGAACGCTTTGTAAGAGGATCTCAGGAAGTACAGGCAAGCCAAGATACTGGAAGTAGCCGAAAGAAGACGAAGTCTCAAGAAGTGCCGAAGGGACCTCTGCGAATATCACGTACCGCTGGCTGCACTACTGAACAAAGACGGGACTCCGACTTCTTCCCGATACAAGATGGAATCTATTGCGAAGAACTTCTACACCAACCTCTTCCGCTCATCAATACCCGTGCAGATGCCCGTTGTTCCCACTGGAGAACTATCGTCCAATACCTGCTGAGTGTACTGTACAAGCTTTCCACGAAGATAGAGTACCACCACGAATTCTACCTGCTGAAGTGCGTGTCGCGATACAGACCATGAAGACGTCCACGGCTCCAGGACCAGATCATCTTTCCGTCGAACTTCTGCGAGCCGGAAGACACCGTCTACACGAGATTCTAGCGTCGCATTTGACATCTTACCTTCAGAAGGAGAAGATTCCCGACCAGTGGAGAACGTCAAAAACCTTCAAGAAGGGTGAACGGGAGGACCTTCGGAACTATCGTCCAATACCTGCTGAGTGTACTGTACAAGCTTTCCACGAAGATTATCCTCGCTCGCATATCAAGGAAACTGGATGAAGCCCAACCCCAAGAACAAGCTGGATTTCGCAAAGGATTCAGCTGCATGGACCACATCCAGACCGTTTCGAGGGTCATAGAAGTCTGCCGGGAGTACCGACTGCCTCTCTTCCTAACCTTTGTCGACTACGAGAAAGCCTTTGACAGCGTCGAAACCAACGCCATCCTGTCTGCGCTAGTCGATCAAGGAGTGGACCCAGCTTACGTGAGGACGTTAGCCGACTGCTACAAGGACTGTACAACGACGATGCAGCTATTCCATCGCCCCCTGACCATACCAATCGGGAAGGGGGTCTGACAAGGCGACACAATCTCGCCGAAGCTGTTCACCACGGCCTTGCAGTGGGTGATGAAGTCACTGGACTGGGACGAGAGAGGCATACGAGTTGATGGGAGATTCCTGTCCAACCTTCGTTTTGCGGACGACATCGTTCTCTTCTCTAGCAGTATTACCGAAGCAGAGATGATGCTGAAGGAACTAAACGAAGTAGGGAAGAAGATCGGACTGCGAATAAATTGGAAGAAAACTCAGTTCATGAACAACGCCCTTTGCGAAGATGCAGAAATGGAATTGGAAGCCACCCGATTATGGAGACGTCTTCCTACATGTATCTCGGACGTTCGATGAACATGGAGAACGACTTGAGGGAAGAACTTAACAGGAGAAGAAGAGCAGCCTGGGCCGCCTTCGGGCCTCTGAAGGAAGCCACCGACCAACTGACGGACCTGGAGCTTCGTGCCCACCTGTTCGACTCAACCGTTCTCCCGGCGCTCTGTTACGCAGCTGAGACTTGGGCCGACACTGTAGCCACGTCGAAGGCTTTACGGACCACCACAGAGCGCTCGAGCGCAGTCTTCTGAAGATGACCCGACGAAGCAACATCTAGTCGGACTTCGCAGCACGGAAATGAGAAGAATGTCCGGTCTTCGTGACCCAGCGAAATACGTCGCGAAAGCCAAACACCGATGGGCCGGTCACATAATGAGAGGAACAGACGACAGATGGACACTAAGAACATCGGAGTGGATTCCTCGCGAAGCCAAACGTCCTCGAGGAAGACCACCGACGAGATGGGCAGATGTGTTCGTGGAACGGATGGAGCAGCTGAGTAAAAAAGCTGGATACGACTTTCGTCCCTGGAACTCGTGGACGCAGCCACCGACGACGACCAAGAAGATCGTGGATGTCTGAGTGAGGGACAGGGAAAACTGGCGACTTCTGTACTGGGGCCCGCAAGTCACGTGAGGACGGGCCATCTAAGTATCTAACAAGGAGAGGATACTTAGTCGAAAGCACCAATCTAGATGAGACGTATGTCATCTTAAAGCGCTTGAAGCGCTGATTCCAAATCTATAGTTTCTAGCTGCGGAACGGTTTTGTAGGAGGGATTATGAGGGGTGTTTTC